GTTGGTGCTTCGATTACTGGATGAACGCACAAATATCACAAAGTTATCCTTCATGTATTGATTTAAGGTCTTCTCAAATGCCGTGAAGGATGAAAACGATACACCCACAAATTTCTCAACGAAAGCCACTTCCGAAGCCATAGCAGACGAACTTCAAAGCCGAATGTGCGCCAATACCGAATGTGCGCCAATAATTTTCAAATGTCTCGATTAAAACAAATCGCAAAAAAATAACGGCAGATGAGGGGGGTTTTCAGTCTACGCATATATGCAAAGAAGTGCAACATTTTGACGTTAGAGTTTTTATTTCGTCCGCAGGCGTTTTGCAGAAAAATACATTGTGCGTCTAGCCGCCGGCACAAGTCGCCACATGTTCCAACCCCCAACCTGGAGGGCCAGGAGACTGTGTTCGTCAGACCTCTAACCATTGACCAACCTGGTGTGAGACTCTGTGAGTGTCGCGGGACACTCTTCAGTATAGCTCAATGGATCGCTGAGGTGCGCAAACCGTCACACCACGGTAAGGTCCAGTCTCTTCGTGACGGAGTCCGTCTCGGAGTCCCCATCCAGGAAGATGGCGATGGCCAACGCGGCTGTTTGCTGGTAATTGGCTTTTATACTTCGCTGCCAAGCCATTGTTTGGCCGCCTCTGGCTCGTTTCTACCCTTCGCGTGGTTATGCTAAAAACATTCAAGGAAGTCGGTCGACTGGTATACGGAGCACATGGCAAAGCCAGCGCGACCCTCAAAGGATAAAGCCAGAGAACACCTTCGATACCACAGGCATCAGGCTGATACCACGATGATTTTCATACAGCGTCTCCGTGCCCTTTCTGAAAACAGAAATAACTGTCGATGCGTTCCATTCCACGGGCTCTTTCTCTTCGTTCCATACCGCACCAGTTAGATCGGTCACCAGGAATTCTCCACCCTTTTTTAAGAGCACTGGATACAAAGCATCCAGTCTTGGTACCTTCACACGGTTCAGTAAGGATATTTTGTGTGTCCGTGTTTTATTTCTTCCGACACTCATCCGAGCCCCTTTGAAAATAGGCACCATCATCGACTTCCCCCAGTTGTCTGGGAGGGAGGTCAGTTGTTGAGCCGCCCCATCGGTAACTGATTGCAATGAGATCGATTTGAGTTCTTGACCTACACTTCTTTGGTCAGACGACTTCGGCTATTTCAGGAGTTAGTTCTGGATCAAAACAACCTACGGTCAGTACATGGTCAAACGGTGTCCTCCAAACAGCATGCCAGCCACGAACCCAAACTAATCTATTCGCCATCAGTTACCGATGGTGAGGATTGATAACTGACTGCCGCTCGTCTTGGAACGCGTTTGTGTATTCAGACGATGACCTCGTCCGGAATTGCCTATCTCTTCGTCCTCCAGAGCTGCGTAAGGTGCGGACAAATCACTCAGCAACTGAGGGACTGCCAGATGCCAAACTCAGACTAATTTATGGGAATCGTCTTCTGGAGTCTCTTCCAACTGCTGCACCATCAAACGTGGGTTCCTGCAGGAACGAGATCGCCAACTCTTTGGACAGCGCTGGGAGTTTTGCTTATGAAACGGTGCTACCAGGTCCACTCAAGCACTGGATATCAGACAAGACAGGCACTACTTGAATTTCCGAAGAAAATCTCGCTGGACCTGAACATAATTCAGCCCCACAAATTATCAGACGTTAAATGAAAGTGAATGTGCGCACCGACTTAAAGTCTGGCGGACACGGAAGGCCAAGAAGATGGCAGATAATTCCAGTTGATCTGTTCGACCGTTCCTCAGAAACCCACTGTGAATGAACCCGTCGAGAATGAACTCCCACCCACACTGTTCAAAGGACGAGATAGCTCAGTGGTTAGAGCACGAACTTACTGACCGGAAAGTCCGTTGTTCGAACCCGACCTCCACATCTCGACTTCTCCAATTTAGATTTGGACAACCTGGAAGTATCCCAACCCTCGTGCTTCCTTCGGGTGGCGTGGTGGCTAGGCACCGAAAGGGTGCTACATCTGAACTAGTATCTTTTATCTTGCTATTCAAAGGTATAAATGAATCCCGCAGTCAGCGATTGTCTGATCCGTTTGTCTCCATTTGGGAAGCTGGGGAGAATCATTGATATCGCTTATTTCCAAAAACTAGTCTCCCATAATGAGTGCGGTAATCACAGAGGGATCAGCTTGACGTAACGAGACTCCTGGTGTTACTTCTCCATCGCCTTATGGTAGCAGGACAAATACTGACTCAAGGCTAACAAGCGCGATTCTGTTCTAGAGGGGGCTGCACTGACCAAATCTTCACACTCTGACATCCCATACATAAAATTGACTCACAATTTTACTATTTCCGGATTTCCAAGGTGCATTCAACTCGATTGACAAGTCGGCTTTCCTTAAAACCCTGACCCATCAAGGAATGTCCGGCATCAAGGAAAGCTCTGATTGGTCGAAAGTCTGGACTCAACAGCCAATCATGGCAGTGACGGTCGCCAATGGCGCATCCAGAAGTCGTCAGAATTTCCAGAATGTTGTCGCAACATGCACTTAATATACGACGTTTACTGGTGTTGTCAATCGGGATTGTGAGCGCTTCGAGCTGAGCTCAAAGACTGAGAATCAGTTCAAGTACCTCAATTGTGTATCCGGTCTTCAGGCGTCTCAAGATACAGACGTCAGAGCCCGGCTGCTTCATAAAACAGGATGTTGAAATGACGTTGCAGAGACTCAGCCTAAAGCACCACACGGCTATGATTGGCCAGCCACCTGTTACTTCAAGCAACTGTGTACACGCAACCAACTCCAGTGTCCCAAAGGAATCTGACATCAAGCCCGGTCAGAAACAAGCAAGCCTTTCACAAGTTGCTGGAGCTGCTTTAGTGGCAGTTCGCAGCTCTACGGGCTCCGATGCAACGCTGCTCAGTGAACGAACGTGGAAACGAATTCGTAAGCCGCATTTGAAACCGAACAAACATTAGCCATGTAATTCTTCTGGTGATAAAGCGAAGTCCGATCGCCGTTCAATAAAACAGAAAAACCTATTGACAGTGTTCTCACTTGAGGGTATTGCTGTGAATGTTTAAACGCAATGACCCGGGTCTTTAACCCAGCCACCCGTCCACTCCTCTTTTATGTCCGCTAAACTTGACCTCTGGGATCAGGGTATATACAAACGTTAGAGGTTTGTGAATTTTAGCGTCTCAGGCTTATAGGAAAGTTTGCTATGTGCAGATGTTCACTGATGAGATCTGGAAACTTTTTCATGACTATCAATCCCAGTGACGACGTTCGCAATGGTCTTGATATCTAATACGCGGAGTCGATGCCGAAATGAGCAATCACATATTTCCGCTCTGTATTCGCCCCGTAGAATAACTTCAAATATGGGTGATTGCGCCCTAGAATGACACGAAACAGCTCGGTTTTCATGTGGTCTGTGAATTCGTTCACTGGAGCGATTTGTCTTGATATGGCAGTTGATCGCCGCTCCCGGTCGCGGGCATCCGCATCATTTCTGGCGGCGACATATCCTCAGGAACTAGTTTTCGGATGAGAAAACCAGCTAAATTCGTTAACCCAATATCTCTAGTCACTCGTTAGCAAATGAGTGTCAAGTGTTTGATCATTTCATCGTTTTAGTTCTGCGTATGGAAACTATACCCGTTTTCACGTGCCATTTACTCTAATTCTCTCGCACTTTGTTTCTTCTGACTAACTGTATATAGCGCATATTGAGCTGGATAATACTTCGACAGGTTCGTGATGATGGTAAGTTGTTTTTAACTCTTGCACTTCGGATCAAACTTTCCAAAGCTTCATCAATCTGACTCAGAAGATATTGTGGAAGAACGGGTGATTAACGAGGAATACAAGATATGGAAAAGAAATGCGCCGTTCTTGTACGATATGCTCATGTCTCACTGTTTAGAATGGCCGAGCCTAACCGCTCAGTGGCTACCCAATGTCAAACTGTAGGCCCGTGTTCTATTTTCCTAACCTATTTCACTGCCTTCAGAACAGATCAAGATGTATCTCTTCATCGTCTCATTCTTGGGACGCACACTTCAGACGAGCAAAACCATTTACTCATTGTGACGGTTCACTTGCCGAATGACCAGGCTCAGTTTGATGCAAGCGCTTATGATAGTGAACGTGGAGAGTACGGTGGTTTCTACTTTGCGCACGGGAAACTTGAAATTACAATGAAAATCAACCATGAGGGTGAGGTCAATCGAGCTCGGTATATGCCGCAAAACCCGGACATTATTGCCACAAAGACCCCCAGTGGGGATGTGTTGATATTCGAGTATCCGAGGCACCCATCTAAAACGTCACCAGAACATGGATGCCAACCGGATTTGCGGCTAAAGGTAAGTTAGGTTATTTATTTTGCGAAAAATGCTAGAATAAGGCAGAATGAACCTTAGGTTTTTGCTTTGGTGTTCCAATGAAACTGGTCTGCGGCCGACAGGTGCATAAGGTCGCTCGTACCATTGAGGAGAAGCATTTTAGATGCTAGCCACCGTTCAGTTAGGTCTGAACGGCGGTGATAGATAAACACCTCTAACCCCTTTGTGAGCGCGGCACTCTGGAAGGGTACTGTGGGCTTTCTGTAGATACCAAATACACATAAGCTGAATACAACAGGATACATTAAATCACGGCTCAACACATTAAAGTGCAATGTAAGACAACGTGCACAGAGTGGATTTGAGGTAGCAGTGAGAAACAGTGCTCAAAAAAATCGTTCAGCTGTAACACCCGGTACCTAGCTGTCATGCTACCCGGGGGAAGCACGAGGGCTGAGAGACTGCCTGGTTGTCCAAGCCTAGACAGGGGAAGTCGAGAGGCAGAGGTCAGAGGCATCTCAGCCTAAAACCAAACCAGAACATCTCGGCAGCAAGATCAGGTTTGGTGGGAACATCGGATTAGTAGTGCTGACGTATGCCAGATGGTCTTAAGAAGGAGGAACTCTCCCGCAATAGATGAATTTCTCACGCTTTATAGGTTGCACTGGTTGAAACATGTACTCCATATGCCGGAAGACCGTTTGCCTTACAGAGCTCTTTTCTCAGCCCTGTGCTGAGTGAAAGCGACCGAGAGGTGGACAGTGTATGTATGACCTGGCAATGAAGTACGAAAACACTGACCAGTAAACTTAGTCAGGTGGGCAACTGCCACATCCATGGATGGGGACCCCGTTACCCAGATCACCAGTGGTTAGTGACATTGGCGGAAATGGCCCAATCGCGCAGTCAGTGGCGTTCGTGCATCAAAGCTACCGCCTTCAACGCGTAGCTACCCAAATTCCAAACAAACTGAACTTGCTTTCGCCTCTAAGGCTTGATTGTGTATTCCACTTTCCTTTTTTCCGTTGATCAAAACTGTAGCAGCTGGAACGAATGTGCCTATGACACATGTTTTATAGCTGACAAATTGAATCGAAATTGATCTCGGCGGAAATTCCTTTGCGGCCCCATCGGATTAGGGCGGTAGACACAACTGGACAGTTGATACTCAGCGTATACAAAGAATTCCTCACTGCACATGAGACGCACCCTGTGAGCACATACGGCCAGTTTGGTTTAGACAGTGATGGCCACGGTGATGACGATTGAAAGTCACTTGTGGTACCATTGCGGACTTAACATACGGAACACCTTACTAGATTATTTTCCTACGTTTTGGTCCATGTGGCCCTGGTCATGGCAGCAGATTAGCACCGTCACAGGGTTAACTCTCCACTAAATCAGAAACCTAAGGTGGATCTTGTAAGACTACTTTGTCTGCTGGGGCATCGCTCCGTGCTCGCTGGTGACCGACTAATCCGACGTGACCAGCCGCAGTCCCTAAACATACAAGTTGACTGGTCCCTGGGTCCAATAACTCTGTCTACATCTCTTCTTGTTGCACGCAGAAGCTCTCTGGCTTGAGGTTAGCGATCGTTGAATCGATGAACTCCAGCTCTTATCGTTTCCCTCCAAACTGCCGTGTCTTGTACTTCCGTATCCCACTTCGCTAGTTCCGCTTCACCAGCTTTTACACTTGACCGAGGTAACCAGGTATGAGGACTTTTGTCTGTCAGGTTTCTGTTTATTCGTATTCTGTTTCCTAATCCTGTTTCCGTTCATTCGGCGAATATGTCCCAGCAACGGTGGATGGTTGGACGAGCTCCTGGTCTTCATTCTATCAAAACATTCCCCTTCTCAGTGCCTCCATGTGGGGCACTTGTTCAATCCCGTGGGCACTAAGTATCCGCCTCCAGCAGCGGATGCAAACCAGTCAAGTATGGAAGATTGCGTCTCTATATGGCAAGCGCTTCGATGCCGTGCTAGAGGACATAGAACCGTCGGTTTGTGCACATGCAACCTGGCCTCTATTTGCAGTCCCGCGTTACTCTACACAATTTCTCTAGTCTGTCACGAGCCACACCAGCCTTTCGCAGCACGGGATTTCAGTTCACAGACAGTGTGGTCTCGAGGTAACAGAAGTCCACAAACTCCCAGTCTTGGTTAGTGAGGGACTGCTGGGGGCTGGTGCAGGTTGGCGCAGAACAAAATTCTTCTTTGTGTTGATCCTCGGGCCAAAATGCACAGCAGCAGTCGAGAACTTCTCATCTTGGCGCTGCAGTTTAATGTGCGTTGTGCGAACAACACGATCGTCCGCAAACATTTGAATGTGAACCTTCATCTCTTGAACCAGACTCCTCGCACCGAAACGTCTAATAGCCATCAGTCCAGCAACCGAAGTGTACGTCAGTATCTCCGTTGACGAAAACCGCGGCCACAATGTCCATTAGATATAGGTTTAAGACATCTAGGAAAAATGTACCTTTGTTTTGCGCCAGTGCGAAGTCGATCTGTTCGTTTGTGCCCTTGCTCTCATTCCGATATATGGACTCCCGGTAAGATTTGGGGAATGTTTGTCGGCTGGAAACCTGGTTCGACATTGTTAACTCTAATGTTGGATACCTGGGTTCACAGAATGTTCACCTACGCGATTGGGGCTCACTTTGGATCGATATCTTCGAGAGCCTTGCCACTAACCAGGCCGCTTTTGCAGGCGCGTTTCGAGAATTATGAGAATCCAGCTCATTATCACACAGCAGGTAGCCGAATTAAGGTGGGCTAAGGTAATTAACATGAAACGTTTTCCCTCCAGAAGTTCTAACACCAGGGGATATTTCCCTTTTGTACCAGCTTTGTGCTATTGGATCCCAATTAAGGAGAATGCGCCACGGCAGATAACCCTGGGCCAGTAATAAACATGTGCAAATCGTGCTTACTGTGGATAGCTTTAGTCGACCAACTTACCAGAGCGTGACCAATGTCAGGTAGGCAGGCCAATTAACCGTGATGTTCAACTGACCGGTAGAATATGACGGCAAATTCAGAGCCTACAATAGGGCACATAACACATAACACTGAACGCTGAACGAACAGTTATTTGCATTTGGTTAATTTTACCGAATTACTTCACTCAAATACCGATCGACATTGAGTTTCACTGAGAAGTTTCACTCTACTTTTACTTCTCTTATTCGTAAGGAATTTCTTTTGAAGTCCTAATGACAGCGATTCTACGTCGTTCGGATGACGGCTGTGAGTGAGCAACCACTGCTTCTAATTTGCTCTCCTTTGATGACCTCTCCTCTCACGGGTCACAGCGGTTGAGCAGCTGACTGTGCAGCAGTCAGCAGACAAGAGCTAGTTATCAGTAATTATGCTTCTTAAATCTCACACGGGTAACGATAACTGCAGTTCCTTGTCTATCCTCAAAGGAAGCTATGCGACTTTGTTGTAAAATTGTGAGTATTCCTAATATAATTGGTTGATTTCCCAGTTAGTGGTTCCAAAGTACCAGCTGATGATCTGACCACCCCACGTGATGAATTGGTGTTGCCCAGTGTTGACGTTGTCGGACGTCTGTCTTGTGGGATTTTGACATCTGATAAATTCGTGATTAAACCGTACACTTAGTATTGATTAACCTGTCCCAAATGTTATATCACCGATCTCGAATATCTTATTATCTCAGTGTTACAATTACTCTCCATTAATTTGTTAGTGCTTACATCACTTCACAACTACTGTTCCCTGTTTGGAAGTGGGTTGTTTCCAATAATGTCCCGGGTCGTTGCCACCCTTGACGCTATGTGGAAACCACCGTGGCATCAGCCTGTTAGCTGTGGCATCGAATGTGCTCTCTGGCCTTATCCTTCGAAGGTTGACTACACACAGAGAGAGAGAGAGATCCGTGNTGGTGCCCACACACCTGAGAAAGTTTTACGTCGTATTTTCAGAAGCTTTAGGAAATATTCAAACGACCAGATTTCCACAAACGGTGTACTCCGGAGACAGTTGATATCGATTGCCGTTCTGAATCACATATAACACTGTTCTGTTTGCATTTTTGTATACTCCACACCTGTTCACCTATGTGAAATGGCTCGAAAAAGACCTGAGGAAAAGAGCCATTGGTATGCGATACATAGTTCGTTTGCATGAGTTAAGCGAGCGTTCGTTTAGAAATATTCAGCAACAAAAAGGACGTGTTTCACCTTCCTTCAATCCCTCCATCTCTTGTATTTTCGCAATCATTCATCTCTTGTACTGAATCTCTTTTCTTATCAGTGCGCTTGCTGGCGGAAGCAACCTTTTGAATCGATAGGTGAAGCTTAGTGTATTGATTTCAAACCAATTTTCAGCACTGTTCAGTTCGCGCTCGTCCAGGATGGGTACCGTAGACTGGCATTTTTTGTTGTTGAATTGAGGATGCCAAAAGACAGTTATTCTACGGCGAAGCACCTGCTTTCCTCAGCGATATCAGCCGAAGACAGGCGTGAGTATCGTGCGTTTTGTATATCCACATAACCGTAGAGAACTACGCCGAGGCACGCAAACTCTATTTGGATGCAATCGTTTTGTTCGATAAAGTTGTGTGTTCTTCCAAGGATGCAAGTAAGCTTCTTGATCTCACTGACGCACATATCCTGCAGCCGTACAGGGCCGATCAAAGGAATTCAAGGACAGTGCGTATCAACGCGTAAAATTTATTGGTAAGTTCAATGTAGCCATGTTGCAGATCGGTTTTAGTAACCCAGCATGAATTCCACCACGTAGCAACAGATTGGCTTTACCGTTTATATGGGTTGATTACACAGTCAGCTTTATTAGATGCTGGTTAACATACCAGGAGTTTCAGAAGTTACAGTCAAATTCATCAGGTCACCTCCAAGTTAACTGGTTAGTCCAGTTATGTTCCCCGAGACGGGCCACATCAATGGCTAGAGACATTGTCAGATATGGCCCAGTCGCGCCCTCAATGGCGCTCGTGCATCCAAGCTATTGCCTTCAATGCATAGCCCCTTTTCCAACCCCCCCCCCCACTTGACAGCCCACTGTACCTACCCCCCCCCCAAAAAAAAATCGGTGAACGAAACTGCGGCAGCTACAACCACAGTACGACGAGTACGCGGTTATTACAGCTGACAATGATGATGATGATGACCCTTAACCGATGATTTTTAGCAAATTTGATACACTATTTTTCTTTATCTTGGTCCAATCGACAGTGGCGTAGTCGGTGCGTAATTTCAGGCGGTCAGCACTCACCTTTAAGGTCAGTATCCAACTTTTCAGCTCTCATTTCACGGGGCAATTCAATGCTGGACACGTCAGTTGAAAAGCGGTACATTTTCCCCTTAAGTCTCAGGTTTGTTTGAAACGGACTCGGAAAACTGTTGACTTCATCTCTAAACTGTTTCAGAAAGACGAACGTTTTACTGACGGTGCTGTCCGTTATTGTTGTTGGGTATCTTCAGTATAGGCCGAAGACACTAATGGTCTAGCTTGAGACGATCATTGTCTCATAGGGGCCAGATTTAACATGCAGTTATTTGTATGCATGAGGTGAAAGAGCTTCGTAAGTAGTTATTACTCTGAGCAGCCCGTAAATAAGAGGTTATTTAAAACTGGAAGTGCTTTCTACAGCAGTTCCTGGTAAATCGATGGATCTGGTGCTGTTGGTCTCGGAGTTCAGCTGCGCGTCAGTTTGAATAATTTAATTGGACTGATAAAAACCAAATCCCTGGGGCACTACGAAATCAACATCACCAGTGTTGACACTAACTCTTTGCTACTGTACAACCACAGCGTCTACTTAGTTACACTTGAAGCCTTAAATCGAAAACGAAAAACTGTTGGTTACAAATGGATCCAGTGGTAGCTTACCTGAAACATTCAGCTTCTGGTGTTGAAGAATGTGTCCAGCACCAGAAGCTGCGTTGGTTGGGACATGTGTTACGTATGCCGAACCATCGTTCGCCAAAGGGAGTGCTTTTTTCCATGCCCAACTCAGAGTGGCGTAAGCAGAGAGGTGGCCAACCCATGACCTGGCAGAGGAGTATGAAGGAGATCACGACACGCTTGGGTGCTGTTGGTACTATTCGCCTTCCAGGATGGGGACCGCGTGATCCTCACTGTGCCTGGTTGGAGACACTACAGGACATGGCTGCCAACCGGTGTCAGTGGCGTTCTTGTTGTCAGTTTCTATCCAGATTGTCTGAGTGAATGTCTGGAGGTGTAGGCACTAGGTGTAGCATTAAGTCCCTTCCCCGTCCACCTTTACTCTTTTCTTTACAATAAGGCTTTTAAAAAAGTCATGGTTGTACGGCAGTGAAGCATCGGTGTTGAACACTGATGTCATGCTGTCGATGATGATGATGATTATGATGATGGTGATGATGATGATGATAATGATGATGATGATGATGATGATGACGATGATGATGATGATGATGATGATGATGATGATGATGATGATGATGATGATGATGATGAGTTAGACAATTCGAAGAGAAACTGATAGCACGAGCTCCAGTGACATCGATTACCCGTCCCAATCCAAGCATAAGGAGGGTCACGGGGACACTATCCTGGAGGGCGGAAAACACCAACCAAACTCTGTGCAGTCTCCTTCGCACCCTTCCTCTAAGTCAGGCGTCTGCCTCGGATACTATGCTACTGTTAAGGAGGCAGAGTATGGTTCGGCATCTTGGAGTATGTCCGGGCCACCGCAGTTTATCGTTTTGTACACTGTTATACCTTTTGTTTTCACTGCGGGATGCAGCCTCTTCTAACAGACTCTTGTTACTCACTTTGTCATATTATTTGTATTTCCGACCGCATATTTGTACGCATCGGTTTCAGCCAGTTATGAACGCGGGGCGGAAACGGCAGGAAGCATAAGTCAGTTTCATGATATCCAGTTTAGGAGACTCTTATCCTAGAAATGATTCAGCTTCCCTATTTGATCAGATCAAAACTGAACGAGTCGCCGAAAACTGACGCGCTAACTTTACCAGTTCGCTGATTTTATATTGTTACAGTTGGAGTACTCGGTCCTCTTTCTCTGAGGGACGAGGAGGGTCAGCTGGTCGTGATCAGTCATTTGGGATTCACAATGCTACTGTACGAAAAGTTTGCAAGTTAAGTGGTATACATTCAAAATGGATGTAGGACCAGGGTATACTCGAACTCCCTGCGCTCGGCTGGAGATAATGCAAGAAATGGCAGCTGATTGATCCCAGTGGCGTTCTTGCTGTCGATTTCATGCCGGATTACCTGACTGAGTATTCGGCGCCTCAAAATGATTGCGGTAGTCCAGCACCAGGTCTTTCCGTCACCCACTCTCATCTCTTCAGCTTAAGGCTTTAAGCGTGATAAAATTAACTTTGTAGTTTATGGGAATGAAACATCAGCGTCAACACTGATATTGCTGTCTGTGATGATGATGTTGATAGTAGTGATAATGATGACTGTGTTTCGGTAATTGCTTAGTTGCCTCCAGTAACTCGTGACCAGCTGATCATGCTTAATGACGTGTTGTATTCTCTTTTCTTCATCCGACGAAAACACAGTCAATATGGAGGCAGAATAATAATGACTAAGGGTTAGAGCCCGAAGTACCTTTAATGTGAATCCTGTTTACGCTTCTGCAACGAGGCATTTTGTCAACCGTCGTGTTCCAACCTGCTAAGTGGCAGATTCCCACCGAGAAGATGCCTCAACTCGGCTCCTTGGTTTTGTTTTTTCGACGGGTTCTGGTTTGCGTGCTAACACCTGAAGCTGGGTACTAGCGCCCCCATTTGCCGACCAACATCGTCACATAAAAAATTGCAAATAGTCTTAATATAGCACACTTTCGGTGCCTGACTACCATGCCAACGGAAGCAGGCACGAGGGCTGGGATACTGCCAGGTTACCTAAGCCTTCCGGTCCGTAAGGTCGCTCGAGCTCAACTATATCGACACAGAGCATATACGATGAAATCCCCTTGCAGCGAAATCATATGCAGTTTCCGCTTTTTTACCAATAGTTTCTTCGATAGAATCATTGTAAAATGATTGCGCACCTTTCTGCTGACAAATTGTGAAATATCTCTCCTTTAATTGGAGCATGAACCTAAAGGTTTTTGGGTGTGCATCTAATTTGGGGAACCTATGCGAGGTCACGACAGCCCCCTCCCCTATAATTTCGGTATTTCGATTTGTCCTACCATTGGCTTTTGTAGAGTTGTTGTTACATACAGGGCAATCCTAACACCAGAACTTCTGGACACCAACATATTTCTTCACAATTCGGCAAATCTGTTTTACAGGGTCACCAGAAAGAGGGTTACGGACTTTCATGGAACGCTTCTATGCACGGCCACCTACTCTCAGCTTCCGATGACCAAACAATCTGTTTGTGGGATATAAACGCCTCTCCATTAGATGGTCGCTGCCTTGAAGCCATGGCCATATTCACTGGACACCATTCGGTTGTCGAGGACGTAGCGTGGCATCTGTTTCACGGCCACATTTTCGGGTCTGTTGCGGATGACAACAAGTTGATGATTTGGGACACGCGTACTGCGAACCGGAACAAACCGGAACACCAAGTTGATGCTCACACTGCGGAGGTGAACTGCCTTGCATTCAATCCCTTTTCAGAATTCATCATTGCTACTGGCAGTGCGGATAAGGTAAGCAACTTCACAAGTTTTTCAATTGCACGCCGTGATGTTTTCCGAAATTGCCGTGTATAAGCTCACACTAACACACACGTCTGTTTCCATGGTAGTATTAGATCAAGGTTCTAAAACTGCTAGACGTTTTCCCTGTTTATTATTTGAGCTGTTGTTAGGATACATCCAGCGTTTTCCACCCTAATAAATATAGTTGATTAGTCTTATCAGCAATGTACAGAGCGACGTGGCAGTGGGGCCTGTGTGTACTCCCGTAATGGAACTGGCTACTGTCCTGCTTGGGAACTTGCATCTGAGATGTGTTTGTATCCATCAGGTGAGTGTGCAGTTGTCAATTGACTGCTGTAGGTTTGTTAGTGACTACTGTTTAAATAGGCTAGAGGGGGAGATAGTCCAGTGGTTAGAGCGCGAATTTACTGACCGGAAGGTCCGTGGTTCGAACCCGAACTCTGCCTCTCGACATTCCTTGTCTAGGTTTGGGCAACCTGGCAGTATCCCACTTGTCGTGCTCCCTTCTGGCGGCATGTCAGTTAAGCTTTGAAAGGGTCCTACAGCTGAACGGTTTTTATTATTTAAATCTGAGTGTGGAGGACCTCTTGACCCCTCTGTATTAGTCATGTCTGCCTCCAGGCGCTGGACTTAAGCAGTCGACTTTAATAGGGGTTCTCAATCTAGAGTCAAAGAGGGCTAGTATAGCACATTGGGACAGTACTCAAGATTGTATCTTTTTGCGCAGTTCTAGACCATAGTGATCTTGCTTACATGGTCTGTTGAGGTATTTCCCATCCAACTGAGTTACTCCGTTGTTTCTGCGAGGAATTTTGTGTGGCGGCCTGTCGGCTACAACAACCAAGATCTTCACGTCACATGTGCTCATTTTCGAACTCGTTCAAACCAAAGAGGGTTTCATCACGACAGCGGTTATGCTGATATTTGTCCCAGAACGCAACAAACATTCAGTTCTGCCGCCGGCCTGCTGGATAACAGCCATGTAACTCGAAGGAGGCACTAAGATTGTGATACTATGAGGTTGAGCAAGCCTAGATAAAAGCACTCGAAAAGTTTTGGTCGAGTCTTTTTTACGCGCTTTTGGCTCAGTAGTCTTGCGCTCTAACCGATGGGCTATTTCGAGCTCGCAGGACATTCAAATCTTTTCTAAGCCAGCTGGATTGTTATAATCAACAAATACCCGTATCAGGTTGTACTGTAAGGAATCAGGTGACTACTTTCTATGAGCACGTCTGAGCTGCCATTCCTTTCACCTATATCGTCAATCGGATACTGGGGCATGGCATAATGAGCTAACGTGAATTTGAACTTAGCTAGAATACTTTGGTGCTGTGGTCTTGACCACGGGTCACCGTTTTCTTGGGCGAAATTTCCGATGTCTATTAACACCTTAGGTTTTATTCTACCTTCTATTTTTCCGAAAAACGAGTTGTTTTTAATCTCTGTTTTATTTTTTAGACAGTCGCACTGTGGGACCTCCGTAACCTCAGGCTCAAGTTACACTCTTTTGAATCACATCGAGATGAAATCTTTCAGGTTAGTATCCTAATTGACCTGTATTCATCTTAGCACCAACATACAATTTTCTGTCTAGTTTAACCGTCTGTTTGTTACATGACTGAGTACGCACCCGTATGTACCGACTATGAACCAACTGCTCTTGGCAATGGCGCAGCTGCAGTTCTGGCGTTTGTATGTTCATAATTCAGAACGTTTTCTTCCTACTTATGGGCACTCCCACAATATATTCTTCAACTTTTCATGGGTGCATTGATTACTTAGTTTGATGTACAGAATACACCTACGAATTGAACCACAGTTGAGCAAAATGCTCTTTAGAATGGGCATTATTTCATGGGGGATTACCAAACTTGTTTGGAGCTTCGGAATTGTCTGTATGTGCGGTAAACTCACTAACAACTAAACGCTGGAATCCAACAGGTGTTTTTATTATCACAATATACAGCTGCATTTAATAAGATAGGCAAGGGTTTTCACAATGTCCGTTTCAGTTTGGGGTGGTAGGTTCCTCCTCACACTATTAATATAGAAAACCGCGGAGGATTCAGGCGGAATGTGTGAACATACATTTACGACACGAGGTCACTCTAGGGTTGTCTTCACCCATAACACTTATCAGGTTTGTTATCAGTAAGAATTTTGAACCGTTTTCTAGTTCGAATGTATCTTCTATACAAACTCACGCAGTTACCCTAAGTAAAACTCCTTATGTCGGTTCTCACCAGATACACCACCCTTGAATGGCTTCTACTGTGGGATTGAATTTTCTCTAGTTAAAATTCTGGGGTACGTGGTCGGGAAGTTAGAATTATTCGCATTTGGGAGGTTCACACCAATTCGACAGAACCAGATTAATTGTATTTCTCGTAATAACATTCACCTAACTGCTGTTTACTGCCTTGGATGGCCTGTGGTCCCGTTGGCCACGTAGGTCCAGTGGTCACCGCACAATGAGACCATACTGGCCAGTTCGGGAACGGACCGGCGTTTGCATGTGTGGGACCTAAGCAAAATCGGAGTCGATCAGACCGCTGAAGATGCTGAGGATGGCCCTCCGGAATTGTTGTTTATTCACGCCGGTCACACAGCCAAGATTTCCGACTTCTCATGGAACGCCAACGATCCGTGGACCATTTGCTCAGTATCCGAGGATAACATCTTGCAGATATGGCAAATGGTAAGATTGCTGTTTTTCTGTCCAACCAGCATGAAGTCCTCCGTTATCTTGCAGAACACTATGCCGTGTAGGTTTCTTTGTAAGACAAATACTCAGTCTACCTGCCAAACATCTGCGCATGTTTTTTCCTCTCCCTATTATTGAACATTGATAAGTCTATATTTCAAGGCTGTTTACAGTCTATTGTGTGTTTACCAGTAAATCTCCGTCGAAAAAATAATAATAAAAATCTCCGTCGGAATGCAATTACCTACGATATTGCTTTCAAAGGATCCCGTGGACAATCTTTTTCTGGGAAACGAGCACTTTTGAGGTTTTTCTGATGGTTATTAGGCTAAAGAACCCCATTCGATGCTGACAAGCACGAACGAGTAGCTTATTATCACTCTTAGCCGCTACAGAAACTTCTCTGAAACTTTTCGCACCCTAAGAACCAAGCTAGTGAGTGTGAACTTCTAAAAGCACCATTTTAGCTCCATGTCAGATGATATACTGAGGAAACTGTGATCTTTCCAACTTATGTGTCAGGAAACACGCTATTTATTCACTAATTTAGAAGTTTTCCTGCTCATTTTGTGTCTCTTGTGATGGCGCCCATTCTTTTCTCCATCCTCCCCATTTTTAGGCCGAAAATATCTACAACGATGATGAGATTGAGATGGGTAATATCGGGATGGACCCACATTCCTAGCGATCTGCATCCGCATACTTTGTCATGTTTGTTACTTTCCCCACTCTTGGTCTGCATTTGAATACTCCCTTTGTTTGTAAATACAGATTTTTTTTTTGTTGTAGTCTTCTCGGCTTTTTCGTGGGTTGCTTTGCCTTAGCTTGTCATGGTTGGTATACCAGGTGTCTGAAGGGCATGAAGTCGTTCCTCCCCCTTCTGATCCTGTTAATTTATCCACTAAGGGCCTGGACTTCTTATTATCATCCTCCAAAGTGGAGGGTACAAGACATTTTTATCCAGGTGGTTTCTCATTGTTAGTTGACATTTCGGATTCCAGAAAAAGTGGGCAATTCATGCATAAAAGTGTACGCTTTTCGTTAAATTTGTCATTGAAAACAAGATAATTTACTACACATCGCGTACAAGGGCGAATGCCTAACTTCAGGAAGGTAATACACAACATACTACTTGTTTACCGTTCTGTCCAGGGGCGTAGCTTTCATTTCAGTTCTAACGACTACCTTTAGACAGACGGTGATGTGCTTCATAAATGGTACTGTGCTGTCTCCTGAAAGGGCACAGCCGAAGAGGGCGAAATGACTCAGTTCTTAATTTATCTGCAGGAAACTCTCAAGAAGTGGTCTTGTTTGAAAGTGCTTTTTATAAAAATGAATGCTTCGACTGTTTGGTTTTCTCTTCTGGAAAAGCTATTCCAGAAGTGAATTAATGCTGGACGATCAGTACAGGGATACACTTTGGGTTACGGCTCAGGAAGGCGGTTGCCATTAGTCGGAGTGGCCAGATGTTTAGGCATAGCCGAGTTACGGTGATATGGTTCTAACTATCTGATATTCCAATTGATATTGGAGCATGCAAAAACAAGAATCTGTAGCATTTAGAGCCACAACAATCTTTTTCTAGTTGATGTTTGGTGACGAGATTATTTCAAGTTACCCTCATATTACCTACAATAGCCTTAGAATATGGAAGAATGCCCAATAAACAAATGGCTTCGCGCTCGAACTCTTGTCCTAGACCCATGAGTTAAATGAAACGTGTATTACTGCATACTCTGCTAGCAATCACGCGATGTACGCACCCAAGGCACTTCATGTCATATGCCTAGAAACTACCGATGCCTCAAGCAGAAATGTTCTAATGAACAACCACAACTTCGTCATTATTTATAAACGGACCCATCAGTTGGGACGGGATGTTAAGCAGACAAAAAGATCAGGAAAAGCCACGGAATTCGCATAGCTTACAAATAACTTATTCGGTTTCAAGCGAGATGAAAGACCCTGCACGTCATCTTCACCCAAGACTAAATCAAGTCCCCCAGGTACAATGTTCTTATAAGCAGGGTCACGAATTCATTCGACCTATTGTTTTATAACCGCCCAACGAGTGATATTGTTGGCAGTGAGTGGTTCGACCGCGACAGTGTCGTTCTCCACAGCTTTCCAATGACAGACATCGTTTTTCCAGCACCAAAATTAGTTTGGTTGACTGAAAGAACATCGAATTATTTGATAGGTCCGTTCACCTATGAGCAGCTGCTCTTGGAGAACAGCAGAATCCCAGAGTGAACACGACTACTTGTCTCTTGGGATTAGCCAAACGGCTGAACGAAGCGGCAGGAACGGTAGTGTTGCGGATCTAATTCATTTCACAGTCCTTTCGAAACACCTTTGTAAAAGTATAAGCGGATGTTGAAAACAACGCATTTGACATCACTTGTTCAAGTCTAAAATAAATCGACTTACCAATATAGCCAAAAGCCATTTCAAATTTAGGGCTTTATAAGCTCAGCGTACAGACAAAACAGATTCTATCGTCTCTGTGTGAGCCGGCTTAGTATTGTAATCTGCGACGATGAATAGGACAGTACAGGACACAGCAAAGCCCCACTTATTTTACTAGGTCACAGCGAAGCAAACGACCGCATGTGGGTTTTTGAAGTAACCGCTTTGAGCCTGTATCGCGTGTTCAGAGTAGCGTACAGATTACTCTAAGGAAATCATGGCTTTGATTCTTGATCACATTATTTTAGACTTATATAAGCGATGGAAAGCGAACTATAACATGACTATAAGGCAGTAGTAGCGCACACGCTAGGCCTGGTTGCACTATACTTCTTCATTTGAAATAGTGGTAAACAGTGAGGAATTAGCTTGAATCCCTAAGTACTAATCGAGTTTGGTAACTTTCACGTCTTTACTTCAAACGACAACTCTTCCAGATTGTACGTAATTTTCGTGATCAGGGGTTAAATAGAATGTCATTAAGTGGCCATTCAGGCAGCTCCTCTATGTGCGACGCCTCTGTCGGCAGCGATGATGGACCGTCTTCATGATAATGCGAGCGAAGTGACTAGTCAGCTTCGTCCTATTGAAACACTACATTACGCTCCGTGTCTTCTTTTCGCTGAATTTTTGCGGGACTATGCGGTTCTCCCCAAATTTTTACAACTTTGGTGCAATCGGTTAGGGTCACAGTTATGACGTCAGTGTAAGTGGTTTTCATCGGAGATTTCGGTAGGAAAATTTAAACGATATGCTAATTGGCTATCGATATTATTTCTTCGGGGAGTTTGAGGTGCGACCAAAATGACGTTAACTCCCGTGTATTTCACATCAGCTTTGATGCGAAATGATCAGGAAGCAAATAATTAGGTTAGTATTCATCAATTTCGATACCCCAAAGTTGAAATTGGTCTCGTACTGGTTTGCTGAACACCTGAGAACGAATACACCTGAAACAAACCGTTTCCTCCTCATCAAGACATTACAATGTTATTCTCATGTGAAGGCCATTTTCGAGGATTTCTATACTTGATGCGAATCAGTCCCAGAATATTTCTAATCCTGTCTCTTTGAGTGTACCTGCTAGCTCAGTCGTACATCTAATACGCCCTTATCACGCCTTGTTTCTTGTGAACAACCTTATCGAGCGAACCGAACTTTCATACAGATATAACTTTTTCCAAACTCATGAAAGTTTACGGTCCGAAAGAACACAATTGTTATTAATGCTGAAGAATAACATATATTAAGGTTTCACTTCAGCCCCATTTAGAATTCAAGTTCACAAGGTCTCGATTCGAAGATTATTGTCTGACTCCGCCACTTTGGTTTTACCCTTGGGATAACCTCAAGAGGATTCAGGGATTAAGCCAAGATTTTGAGCGGTAAAAGGGTGAACCCTAGTAGGCTATAGAAGAGTTTCTGCAGCAGCACCTGACCAAGGAGAGGTGCCTCGGTATCTCGAATATCGGCATCGTACAGCATCGGCATCTGTAAAGCACCAACAGTCCGAAAACCTCAAACGAAAGACTATTAAGCCTTAAATGAGGTAACACCACAACTTTGTAAGATGGTACCTTAACTCCATATAATTTAAAAAGAATTTTGGGTGTCACAACCAGAACTCAGGATGTATATATATGATCAAGGGGTGCAAGCAGCCAAGAGAGCCAGACTGCAACAAACGAACCGGAAACAGATCAATAAAATCAAATCAAAGGAAGAAAACTACGAGAAATGGAAGCAGGCATGGCGACCAATTGATTTCGAAGAGGACAGGATCCTAGGCACCACAAATCGGGGAATGACAACTCAAAACAGGAACAAAATTTCTCGTAAGAGAGCTACTAGACGCAATATTGAAACGCGAGAATTACAGACCACAATTCAGGAAAAATTGCGAAGGGAAGAATGGGGCTGTGCGACTAATGCTTTACAACCAGCCGGTCATCTCAATGGATACCGGGTATTTTGAATAGTTATGCTAACGCAAGTGGCTCAGAAACATGAGTAAACCACACCATTGATTTTTTTCCATTAGTGGCGGAAAGTTTTCCAGTTGATTGCCAATTCCTGCGAGCAGATAAAAGAGTGATATAAAAATGGACGATTACATACGCTTCTATGAGCAGATTATCTACTAAGCAATGGATCCCTTCAGCCTTAGGAGTTCACAGTATACATTAGTCGTTCGATACAGATCAAACACAATTCTAAATGCTATTGTTAGCACATCGTGGGTTGATGCAGCCAATTACAGACAAGCCCCCATGTACGGTCGACACCCGAGCCTTCCAGTTGATCAGAAAATTGCGCTGTGACCGAAAACACGCTTGTCTCTCCGGAACAGCTAGGAGAGGAAAGAAGGAAAGCTCGCTGTTCAGGAAAGGACTAGTCAGAAAACGGCAAGTAGAAAGGCGTGACCATTCATCATAGGCACGAAGAACAAAAAATGGGAGGATCACGAGAATCCTGGAAGGAGTGGACTTGGATCGCGGAAGCGAGCAATCGGTGACAAGGCCCGTTTTTTCGTTACCGACTTTCGGAGGAACGTCCATACGATTCAGGACGGTCGAGGATCGAAAAAATTAGATGGTACTCAGTTTCGGAAGTGGCATGATACATCCGAAGAGCTACCGAATAGACCAGCTGCTGGGGTCAGCCTAACGGAGGCCAATGAAAATCGGCGGCATTTGAAGTTGAAATGTGTGAAACGGTCCATACTACTGATGGGGCATGCGAGTAGTCTGGTCGTGCCGAAGCTTCGCTCCGCATCTAATGAAAGGTGAAGTTTATCACAGAATTTGTGGAACTGCACTGCAGCGCTCGTTTGCAACTGTGTAATAGTCAGTGAATACCCATGAAAGTTCAAGAAGACGCGTGGAAATGTTCAGTTTTCAAAAACTGTGTGCGTATGAGAAGTTTACTTTGCCGTCCGATAGCTTGTAACTGCTTAGTTGGTGTTTGCTAATAAACAACTTCGTAGCGGAGGCATTTGTGCTTTTACCAATAGAGTTCGCCTTTCTCAAAAATCCGCTTAAATCTAATCCAGACAGCATGCCCAGCCCACAATCAACCTCCAATTATGAATGTGTATACCTAGCATATGGTTTGAAATGCCGAAGCGCCTTGTGTGGTATGATCATAACACAATATCACTGACACAAGAACTCAGTCGCTGTTGTTAAACGGAGATTTGTGTGCATGTAACCATTCCATATACGAGGAATCGGAACGTGTCACCCGCCCATCTATGCACATACCAATTGCGTAAGAGCACGCACATTATTAGCTCCCCGAGACTGATGGTAAACAAAATCCTATAATGCTGAATATCCTATTGTCACTGATGGATTTGCCAGGCATTTCACTCACAAGCGAAGTAGTGTTCCTCCCAATCCATCAAAAAGATATTCGTTTCGACATGCAAGCGTAATAGGCTGTTCAAGCACTCACCAACTGCGAGTTTTTTTATTGCCAAGTAATATGGTTTGTAATCAAGGCATCGTGCGTCATAGGGAGTGAATTGCACACGGTGAAGTTACCTAACCGTTCGCTTGTGAATTCAGCATATGCAGCCACTATTTAGCTCTTAAAAGATACAACCTTTATTCGGACTGTGGCACACTCCCGTTAAAAAGCAATACCTTAACGATAGTCCTCAAATTGACTCACTCTCAGATAACAAATCCAGAACTTAGATCTTTGAAATGAGGATGTTAGGATCCTTCTGAACGGTAATCTCTAACAATCTAACAATCTGTCTAACGGTAATCTCCAATATGTGAAAAAGATAAAACAGCCTGCAGTGCTTGTTCTAGGAAAAATAGTCTCCTGAGTTTGTCCCCCAATGTCAGTAGTGCAACTGGCACGGAATTTATCTTGTGCCCATCCAATGTTCTCATCCCTGAGTTCTCAGGAGGGAAGTTTCAATACAAACTACCCGAGTGGAAAAGAAACTAAAAATTCTGGTGTATTTAAAGACTGGCACTTCTGTATCACTCAGCTTCATTCAGTCAAGTCATTCAGTTGATCTCGTTTCAAGTGCTGTTTACCTGTCCAATTCATAGTGGTGCAAGCAGAGGTGAGTAATCTGAGATCCGGCAAAAGGGCATGGAAGCGATCACGAAGAATCACTATCGGTACAAACAGTGCACTAGCATTGCAAACTGTCTTTCGGGATTAGGTTTGCGCAATCTTCATTCATGGCTAAGGACACCGGGTTATGGCTGCTGATCGTTGGTGGCGTTCTTGTAGTTGGTTTCTATCCAGATTTTCAACTGAGATTTCGTTCTGAAGCCTACCTATGCTGAAAAGCATTGATCGGTTGTTTCATTACTATCAGGAATCATTACCAGTCCGTATGTCGAATAAATCCAGAGGGTTTCGAACGCACGACTCCCTAACAAGCAGTTTGAATAGCGCTATATCGTGTCTAAGTGTGTTAATCGCATCGACGATTAGCCGCTCGTGGCCGAACGGGAAGTCACGGGTCTGAAACTTCTTACTGTCCCGTGAGATGCGCACTGCTGATACATCCAAACTGGGATGAGACTGTTGTAGTACTTCTCGGCTTTTAAGCATAAATTGATTTCACCTACAGGGTGAAATTCCAATAGAAAATTCCCAAATCTCTTCACACTACCAAAAATCTATCCGAAAATGTATCTAAGGGGGCATACATCTGGGAATTGAGTGTGGTAGGCTGGCACGGGGTACCTTCTCCAACATACTTTATCCTTTTTTCAACAGTAAGTCTCTCAAATAGCAAGCTTGTACGGCAGAGACATAGGCTTTGAACAGCGAAGTGCCGCAGGTGATGGCGAGGGATATTGCACCCTGAACTGGATGCCGATAAGGGACGGTATCTTATTAAGCCTTGCAGTCAGTCCAAAATCAACTTTGAAAACACTTGCTACTCATGTAGAACTCCTGCCCCATTTTCCAAAATCCCACCTTCAACATCAAATTCTACAACACAGCCGATATATTCTTCTCCAGAGACCGCATCCAGGTAAACCTTGGTAGTAAGATGGCAAACAAGAGATGCACTTGCACTAGATCTTGACTTAAGATGAAGGATTACTCACGTGCATTCGCGATCCACTATTATTGGGGGGCAGCATCCAAATGAACAAAGCTGGTGCATGCATATTCTGCAATGGGCGAATGTCACATAGCGACTATGTCCCCGTCAAACGTCGCGGTGGCCACAGTTCAACCGCCCTCGGCCACAAAGCTACCAAATTTCGAGCTGATCAAAACTGGATACATACAGCTGTATTACCCTGTACGAGGTCCGCCGTTTAAAGGGAACAAACAGGTGCACCGAGCGCGAAAAGCCGGAAGCAGTCCGGTACGTAAACGAACGTCAAATTGTAAACAATCATAAAGACGGCATAAATTTTCCACTGATGACTATTTCATATAAGTGCGGGCTCTTCACATTATGAAGGAGTTATTTCAGATCCACCTGACTTATCAGCTATTGATAACTGTCGATTGGAAGATACATCTCAAATGGCAAAAAATCGACCAGGATTTGAGTGCTAAGCCTAGCGCACCTAAAGTACTGCAGCGCGTGAGTTACGCGACCAAAGGCGGAATGATCCGAACTGATAAGATGTGACGATTTGGAAAAAAGGTTCTTCAGCCGATAGTGCGGAAAACTAAGAGCAAGACACCCGAAGGTAACTCGACACCACAGAGAGTGGCACCTCGAAGTACGAGCATTCCGAAACCGAAACTAAAGCAAGCACATAGTTTCTGTGGTTTTATGCACGTACGAAAAAGTTAGTAACGTGGAAGCGGCATTGTTGACATTCCTGTCTCTGTATCCAACAGCTGACCTAGCTTCAACTAACAGGTGGCTGTAACGTCATATAAAGAACTAACAGTCGAAGGAAGCCGTAAACGATGCGGAAGCATCATATAAACACCACTTGAGAACAAACAGTCTGTAGAAGCAACAAGTAGCAATCAGACGTCGCATAAGCAAGCAACAGACGTATATAAAATAAGTCAGCCATCTAAAACCCCTTTTGTCATGCACCCGATTTTGAATGTTGACATTAGTGAGGTAGGCCGAATTCTCCACGCCAAACGTGAATGCACTTTCGTCGGCTGGTAAGATCCCCAGATCAGGTGACAGAACACAAACATCGGGTGTTACTTAAAAAAGCCTGCTATTGTAACTAAGGGGAATTTCGGATGAGGACCGGTGAACTCTTCTGTTAGTTTCCGAATCGATGACTTTTTGAGCATTTAACAGCTGAACCAAACCTAGTTGTTCCAAAGTGACGGTGCTCACAGCCAATAAAAAAACGCACTTGTCTCGTGTGACAAGCATTGCGACAGTAAGCTATTGAACGCGTTTGATGGAAACTTCAAGGTAATGTACTGCCCAGAAACACCGAGTATTCCCATTCAAATGGACCTGCACCAGGCTATCTCTGTAGTACCAATCACTAGAAAGTCATAGTGAACTTAGCCTGAAGTTAAACAGAGCCATCATACACAGCACCCGCCATTAGGATAACCCGAAGATGAGTTACGGTGCGCACACTCCATCAAACATGGCTTTCATCTGGGGGAATTCTTAAAGTTTCGCGGAGACGGGTACAGTTCGACCACATTGTTCCTTAAGCTAAATGAAGGAACTCGAAGTTTCAAGCAAGTCCGAATGCCTAGAAAGAAGATAAAAGTATGCAACACAACGCTCCGTAATGATAGAAAAGAGTATGGAAAAGTATGTAAACAAACGGAGTAGGAACCGATATGGTATGTACACATAATGCGTTTTGCCTAAAAACAAGAAAAATAAATGGGGTGATACAACTGTGCTAATGGATAGAAACAGACGACAAAAAGTATGAAACAAAAACAAGAAAACAATTAAACACTGTCTAAAGTAGTGCGAGGTCTCTCATTAGTGGTGCCAGTGGTGGGAGTACATGATACTTAGCAGATCAACATAACAAAAGAAATGACATTCAAATAACAAGCACACAAAATGTCCATTGTCTTGGGTTGGGAGATGGAAAAACGGCTGCACAAGTGAGGATGGTGGTGATGATTATGGTATCTACGCTGGAAGCAATAACTATGATCTGTTGCGGCGCTGTACGGTCGATAAAAAGGATGAATAAGCCTTAGTGCTTGTACGATAAACACAAAATTCAAGGAAAAACGACAAGCCATCAGTTGTATCGCATAGTAGCATATAAATGCAAGCAAGCATCAATAATTGTCTTACGGATGGATGGGATATCAAACAGAATAATTACGACCTGGGATTTACGTGGACGCATACAAACATGGTGCAGTGATGAGGCGTTGACGATACTCACCATTTGGTCAAGTTAGGGTAAAAGCACATTCGACAATTGTGTAGATACCAAATAAAGCTCACGAGCACCAACAGCGACAAAGCAAAATTGTTCTGATACGGAAAGATAATTAAACCTAAGAATAGTAGCCACATGGAGGGTATCTGTATTGGAGGGGAGAACCGGGTTGATTGTGAGTTGGTGTGTCCGGATGGAAGGAACTCCAGAAGTCTGTTGAAAAATTTAGTGTTGTAGTGAGGCACATGTAAAAGCATAGAAAAGGCAAGTAGCAAGTGTCGAAGTGTAAAAAGGTCCTACAAAAAATAGCAAAATTGTTTTTATCTGTAGAAAACGACGGTAAGAACAACATAGGAAGGCGATTGTGAATGCACGTGTAAAGCCGTCTTGAAGGCAGAAAAATTTCAGTGGTCAACTTTATTTGGTACCCCCAAATATGTAGGCGCTAGGAAAGAAAATCCCCCAACAACTCGGACGGCCCAATGGGAAAAGATATGAACCAGAAGAGATCAGTGTTTGCCACAAAGGCCTACTGGAACGATTCGAGTAGTCGGAAAATACGCTGAAAAACGTTACAGTACCGCAAAGATCGCTGCCCGGTGACGGGTATTTTGCGACCTATAAGACAAAACGTAGTGTAAAAACAAGCAGTAGAAAAGGTAAAAAACAATAAGTGAAAAAGATTCCTCCGCCTAGGTTTAGGAAAAATGCTTGGACGAGACGAGCTCCGAGAGGTCCACATGTAGCGGGGTCGGCGATCTACTGACAGGTAGTTTGGAAGTATTTGTGGCCGTCAGAGGCCGCTGTTGAAATAGGAATGGAAACTGACACAAATCAGCCTTGAGACTTGGGTAGGAATTAGACAATATTTCCATGTGAACGCGCAGTCGTTCACCCTCAGAACGGTAACGTGCAAGCATTTCTTCAAGCTGCTTCACCTGGGCATCACGTTCAGCGACTTGATTTTCCAAAGATCTAATCAAAGATATCTTTCGCTCACGGCAACGGCGTGCAGCCACACGGTTTCGAGCGCGCTTTCGCTCCAATTTCAGATGACTCTGATCTAGACTGTCTAAGGACGACGGTGGTGTGTCGTCCTGGAATAGTTGTCCTGTAGCCGTACTGAATGCCTCAGAATGGTTGCTGACCGTGTCGATAAAATCAGAAGAGAGAGGCTCCTGCTTGACCAATACTGAGTGGTGTGGCTCAGACATGTACACCAAGGAGTCACTTTCAACGTAGGCAGCAGATACAATCGGATTGGAGGTCTGCGAGAGCCCTTGTCGACCAAAAGAACACCCGGAACCTCGTGATCGTTTCGAACTAGTTTTGGTACCCCGAGGTGAACCGGTGCTGCTGTCAGCACATACGACTGCCGATGTGGTCAGTCCGGCTGAAAGTGATGGTGGGCCAAGTTCGTTCCGGTTCCTTCGATTAGATGATGAAGACGGAGGACGTTTTGTTTTCTTTTGATTGTTGGATATGACTGGCACAGAAGGCACTGAGGCGCTGGAATAATAAGCTGGCACAGAAGTGGTGTTCAACTGAGACGGAACAGACACTCCTTCAACGACTTGGGTTTGGTCACAATGAGTTATTGGCCGCGTTAACTGCTCCAAACCATTCTGAAGAAGACCGGCAGACCGCAGTGCGTCTAGTGACTGAGCATTGAGCAAAGCTGCTTCACTCGATGAATTACACGGTAATGCGGAAAGAAAGTTTAGACTGCCGACATTCATTTCCGGACTAGGTTGCAGAACAAAGGATGTAACACCGCTCATCAGCCCGGAACTCGTCCCGTTCGTATTGAGAGCGAAAGCTCCATTTAGACCAGGATACAGGGCGCTCAGCTGCTGAAGTTGTGGCTCTGGCTTAAGCAGCAGGGCGCCGGTAGTCTAAAAGAAAACAGCAAATTCGATAAGTAACGAAAATTACTATTTCCAGCAGGTGGAGCATTCCGCAATCTACACCGGTTCAACCACAAAGCTGATTTACGCTAAAAATCATCTTCACAAGTCATCTATTTTCCTTTTATATGGATGACGCTACGCCAGTTGCAAAAATTAGCGGGAGAAGATATCTCTAATGTTCACAGGAAGTACATGTTCACTTGATCGTTTTAGTGCAGCAAATATTTGGTTTATTAGTCCACTTAACAACGACAGCAAGTGATACCGGTTCGAAGTGGTGGCTCAAGAGGAGCGGAGTTTATCCATTGGTTTAAATAATGTAACAATCACGGTCATTGGTCAATTACAGGGAAACAATAGTTCAGCTATTGAAGCTAGGGGAGGTATATTCCTAGGGGGGTTTTGTGAGGACCAACCGAGAGCAGTCACTTTGAAAAGGGCTTAACTGTAGGACGAAGGTTGAAACGCTGAGCTATCGGTTACCTTCAGTAAAACCAACGGGTAGAGAGTAAAAATGAACACGGAGTTCGAGAAAATTAACAATATCAGAAGCCGGATTTCTGTGGTGGGTTCAGATTTGAAATATTTTTTCCAAATGAGATTTTTGAAGTTGGATCGGAAGAGCCATACAGTAA